AGTTCTTGGCTATTATTTCTAGGAGGAAAAAAACCCAGGATCCTTTTTGATTCATTTAAACTTCAGAAAAATCTTTCTAACTGTGAGGGTAGTGAAACACTGGAATAAGGCTGCCCAGAGTGGTTGTGAACTCTCCATCCTTGGCAATATTAGAAACCTGATTGGACAAGGTCCTAAGGAACCTTCTCTAGTTGACTCTGCTTTGAGCAGCGGGAGTTGGACTAGACAAACTCCAGAAGTGCCTTCCAACCTCAATGATTCTATGAAATCAGTGTTTGCTGAAGTAGCTGCAGAGGAAAGACATTAAGGTTTGGCTCCAGTTTACTTCAGATCAAACGTTACAGAGGTATCATTCAGAGCAGAACCTTACCTGAGATATTACAGAATCACAGTCTGGTTGAGGTTGGAAGGGACCTCTGGAGATCATCTAGTCCAACCTCCCTGCTCAAGCAGGGGCCTCTAGAGCATATTGCCCAGGATCACATCCAGACGGGTTTTGAATAACTCCAGCGAAGGAGACTCTACCACCTCTCTGGGCAACCTGGTCCAATGCTCTGTCACCCTCACAGTGAAGAATTTTTTCCTTCAGGATCAGATGGAACTTCCTGTGGTTCAGTTTCTGCCCATTGCCTCTTGTCCTGTTGCTATATATTAGATACCTACCAACTGTTGGCATATATTCTTCATTTCATTTAGGAACTCTTCTTACATCAGTGGGCCTGTATCCCCCTTAATAAAATGAAAATACGGTAATGGTATGAAAAAGTACAACTGCATTACCAAACTGTAATGTGATTTAAAGGTAATTTTCAAACCCGGCATGTTTTTTGTCTCTATAGTTAATATTTCTTCTTTGTCTCCTGTTATTCACTCTGTAACATTCTGTCCTGAAAGCACATGCCAGATCTTCCCCAGGTGAGTAGTTCCACTGAATATGACCACTGACATATATTGACTGGGAACACCATATGTCAGTTCTTTAGGGCAGGGAATTTAATCTAAATATGACAAGGAAAACATTCTATTTCCTTGCTGTGATTTAAAAAAAAAAAAAAAAAGATAGAAATAAACTATTGCTAGGTTTGGGTAAAATGAGTTGCCTTCACTGTAATCAGTAACCTTGTGACGCTGAACTGGGATTATCGTTAGCAAAGACATTTAGATCTATTGTTTTCTTATTCTGTTTGGAGACTGAGCCCATAAACTTTTATGAGCTACAGCTTAGATAATGTTAGGAAATAGCTTGCTGAAACTAAAATTATCTCATTGTTTGAAAAGAGCAGGGAAAGGTTTTAGTCTTCTCTGCATTAGTATATTTGCTGTAAAACCGATTTTATCTTTCAAATGTTATTGTGGGTCTGCTCATTAAACTTCTGTTTTCATACATAGAAATACTTCTTGTTGTCTGTGCTTGCATGTGAGTACAGTAAAGAATCTAGTCCATAAGGAAAGAGATCTACAAAATAAAGCTGAAAGAATATTTATATCCTGTCTTTTGAAGAGATTCCCAGGTTAATCCAGGTAACTATCTTTCTGCTTTTTAGAAATGTGTTTACTTTGACATATTCAAATTTTCTAATCACAACTGGGATTACGGACAGCATTCTGGAAGCAAAATGTGAATTCATGTACACAGTAAAGCAGTAGCAGAACAAGACTACAATCTATGGTTTTTGCCTCTTCTATCTACCTTGACTCTTAAGAAGCAAACAGTGACTTGTTTCTCCTTCATCTAAAATTTGGTAACTGTATTTCAGTCTTTTTGGATTTAGATAGCGTTATAGCCTTATTCTATGGAAGTCTCATCCTTCTCTAGGAGTCTGAAGAGTCTAATTCGTTTAGTTTTTCAGAGAGGATACACTATTAGCAAACTAAATGTGCTGCATGTACGCGTGTCATTAACGAAAGAATGTTTTTTCACTAGGATAACATAGTATCTTCTGGTCAGTTATAATTAGGGAAGAAGGTGAATTTTGTACAGTGCTGTTATTTTTGTGGTACTCCGTAGTTTGTTATTGATGGTAGCCAAATCTTAGGGGATTATTGTTCTCACCTCACACAGAATGATGCACTCAGAGATAGGTTTTATCTGTTCATCATAGATCCACGGTTTTAGGCAGCCTCTTCTAGTAGGCGTTCACATTGTGTTCAAACAAGTTCAGCGTTGTTCACACAGTGTACCAAGTGAGTACTCCACCCAAAAACAAAGCAGAGATCTTTCATAGAACATTGCTGAAGAAAAGCACAGTCGCTGAGGAGCTGGAATAGCTCTAATTACAGTTGAATTTGTGACGTTTAGCAACCTAGTTCAACATCTCCATCTCTCAGCCTCCAAATTTTCAAATGCAGGACTTTGATTCAGGCTGACTTTTCATGCACATTGATTGTTTTCAGGAAAAATTGTTTTTCCTTTTTCCTCATGTCAAAAACTGATATCAAAATTCATCTTTCTTCAGAGTGCCTCCCCTCTGCTATGTATTTCTTAATTGAGTTCTTGGCATAAAGAGGAGAGAAACTATTTCTAGCTATTGGAATAGCTGTGTGAACTGGGAAAGCCTCCAATTTTTAGAAGTGTATTTAAAGACTTGAAGAAGATCCAAACTTCCAAATAATTTTTACTGCTCTGCTTGGTCAGCTGTCAGTATTTGATAAATAATGTGGAACTATTGTCAATATTTAACAGCTCAACACAAATATTTATTCTACATTTATTGTAAAAATAATATATGAAATGCAAATCGAGCATCTTATTCTACAAAATTTTATTTTTGTTTCTCCCATACAGTTTGGTAGTAACAGACTCAAGTGATAAAATTTCCCCTGCCTCCGCACAAAGGCATACAGAGGGAGGAAAATGTTACCAGTGGTAACAATCTTCCCTGCCGAGAAACAGCTCATAGTGAGATTCCTCCCCCCTCCTACCTAAAGTCATGTCCCAGAGGGGGGACTCTGGGGTAGAAGCTTGCTGTGGGGTGTTTCAGAGTAAGAAACAGTACGATACCACCATTCAAACCAGATTACCAGTGAAGCCTTCAGTAACAGAGCTCCTCCTGTCTCCGCTGCCGCATTGCCAAGACCCCTTTAACTGCTCTGAAGTTATACATCACAATACAAATGCAAATTGTGTTTCCAGGGCTTTCCCCATACTTGGAGGAACTCATCCTAAAGAGCCGTGAGCTGGAGCTTGCTGGACTGACCAGCCTGCACTGTCCATAATGATGGTGCAGGTATTATCCTCATGCAGCAAATCAAGCTGCAGGGTAGTCGAGATTGGTCTAATGAGTATCAGAAGTAGGCCTGAATGTCAGGTCCCAATCATGTGTTCCCAAGTGTTTTCTCACACTTTACATAGCAATACATTGCTAAAGATTTCAAATGGATTAACACAACAGCCAGGAGATAATATTTTTTCTAACTGAAGGAATGAAGCTGAGTGTAGAATGGCCCAGCCGCGACCACACTCAGTGGAAACTGAGGATAACTTGCAAGGGCTCCTGAGTAGCCCCGCTCAGCTCAGCATACCTTAGCAATGTTACTTTCATTTCGTAGCTAGAATAAGCCCTCACCCACACAAAACAAAGGATAAGGAACAGAGCCGGTTCACTCAGGAGCCTTTCAAATCTAGCATTGTCTCAGACTTGGCTTTGGTCCATTGTAAAATGTGTTTGGTGTGTTCCTGGAGCTGTTCTGTAAAAAGCACCCTGAGGCAGCAGAAGGCAACTCTGTTACTAGAATTCTAATTTGTTGGTTATTCTGTAAATGAATGTGAGTAAATTTAGGAAAGAAGCATGAAAAACAGTAAAATATTATTACTCCATTTTGTCCAAAACAATCAGGCTGCTTTAACATTAGTTAAAAACTAGTTCTTCCTCAAAGTTTTTATTAAGACTACTGCACTATCAATGATTTTCAACCCTTATCTGGAAAAGTCAAATCTAAAAGCCCATTTCATCCTTCTCCTCTCCACCACTGAATAGAGCGCCGTTGAGAACTAGAGAACGTTAAGTCTTAATTTAGAGAGACTGAAGAACGATTTCAGTGCAGTAACTTTAAGTGCATTATATACCTATATGCTGGAATTAGGGTGGTTTTTTTACTATATAATGGAATAGAGTCAGGGCCAGAGACAGGTTTTGATCAGGCAAATAGGATACATATAATTCTTCTTCAAATATTTACGTTTCTCCTGTTCTTGGACTGAGGTTTAGAAAACCCGGTTCTATTCCTACTTCTTTTACTTTCTAATCAGTGTCAATAGAGCATTGGTACTGTCTTTGTTTGTGAAGTCATTTAAGATCTACTGATGAATAATTAATATTTCTGAATAGTTAAGACCCTTGGGCAAGTATCATAAGTCACATACAGTTCATACAAATACACAAGATTTTCTTCATAGTTACTTATATGAAAAATTGAATTTAAAAAGAAAAGAGAGGTAGAGATGGAAAGATTCCCTCTCAGTTAACGCAGGCTATATGTGCACCTGAAGTCACTGCACTGAAACTGTCCTTCAGCTTCTGTGAATCAAGCTTGTTCAACCATCACTAATTCAAAACAGAACATTAAATTTAGCGTTACTAGAAAAGAGGAAAGGGAAAGCATGAGGTGAGCATTTAGAGTTAACCTTTCCAGATAAGGATAGAAACACAGATGGCACAGATGGCCTGAGCTCCTAAATTCTGTATTGCACTTGCACTGTTGATGAGTATAGAGTGTCTGTCTAACATTTTCAGTAGCTTGTAACTCACATACATGTGTTGCAATATTTTTCTGGTTATTTCAGCCTGTTTTTGTTCTGTCAGAAGTCTACTAATTGTACTCCATGGAGCAACTGCAGTTGAGAAGGCTAAGTTGTTCTAAGGAAAGAAGCATGGTATTGATTTTGGTTTGTTTATTGGATTTCATTATTAAAAATAGTAATAATAATAATAATAAATGTTTTCTTCAGGATTTGCAATTTTTATGTTATGCATTAAAGAGATCAAAGGTCACTTGTTTCTTCAAGTGTAGCCAACTAGCCGTGGGGTGCTGGGGAAGGTTTTGCGCGTGTCCATACACTTCTTATCAATGATGAAGGAGTTTGTTTTCACAGAAAGTTCATGTTCCAGCTTTGATTTGTTGAGGACCAACATCTGCAGAGTATCACGGGCCTCTTGCAGACGTTGCTTTAAGGTCTGTAAGGTGTCATCTATAGTAAAAACTTCATTGACAAGCCTGAAAAAAGAGGAGACAAGTTGCCCAAATAACTTCAGCGATCCCTCACCACAATACCTTTATTTCAGTGGCAGGTCTGGTTTTCAGGCAGTGCTCTTAGACTGAAGCAATACGAAAACTACTCTTTGCCAAACCTGCATGCTTGGCACCTGTAAGAAGTGATAATTTCTTGCTTGTATTGACCTTTAACAGCAGATTAAGCCGCTCTGCTTTTATCTTCTATCTTTTCAATTGCAATATTCTTCGCTTGCAACATCTCCTTTTTAAAGCCTTCCTAGGGCAGGGCCATGTTGAGCAGCTACACATGACCCTGTAGCATGCATTTGGGATGGATGTTACTGAAGTGCGCTGGTGTAGTTCATGACAGCTTAAACTCGTGCAGCAGGATGTGCTAAATAGTATAGATATGATGCAAAAGCATGTTAATCAGGAAAGAATCATTTACCCAGATAACCACTGAATGTGGATCTGTGAAATCAAGTTTTTGTGAGCTGATATTGGCCAAATTTCTTCCGGTGCCCTATCAAGGAAGATGTGGCAAAGCTTCTTATGTACTTGCTGAGCTCGTAAGCTCTCTTTAATACTGAGGATTTTATGTGTAGAGATAACTCTACCGAAAAACTGACCACCAATAAACCGAGGCAAAATGCATGTCTCCAGCAGAATTCTGATTCAGATTTACTTTGTGAAAGATGGGAAATACTAACATTTAATATTTCTGACAAGCAAAAATTTATTTTCAAATATAATGTATTTTCTGAGTTCAGAAATCTTAGTGTTACAAAGTTAATCTGCTTTTTATACTGTATGAAATGGGTCCCTCTCTAGTGTCCTCCATTTTTCAAAAGTTAACGGTTCCATCTCAGATTCCCGGCTGCAAAGACCTGGGATTTCTGGAATGTTCATGGCTCACTCTGCCAGCCTTTTTAAAGCGACCATGTTATTAAAAAGCCTTTGTTTCTGAAGGTCATATGTAGAAGCATTTCTGCCACAGTTGCTTTGTGGTAAACTGTTTACCTTGTATATGGTGATCTTACAGATACATCTAGTGAAAAGACGTGTGAAAAGAGGTCCTTTCACATTCCAAGAGGTTTGTGCTGTATCTTTGTCTTGATTGGCTGTAGCTTAGTACTACAAGTTTGCACCATTTGATGTATGATTCATATCGTAGGATTCCACATTTCAGAACTCTCTAAAGTTGCTATTCTATTGCGTAGGCTCACCATGAAACATTTTCCTAAGCTAACTGAAAAGTCTGTAGACTTAAAACTAAAAAGTCTGCAAACCTGAAATCTTAAACATTGGGCTGAATTTGAAGCTAGCTTAGTTCGGGATCTTGATAACAGCTAGAAATTTTATCTCATGAATATGCTACATTGCTCTAATGTGAATAGGTTCAGTTTTACAAGTGATGTCACATATAGCCTCTCCTTATCTAATGTTCTGTTAATTGCTCAAAGTGCCATAGCCTGTAAGAGACATTGTTTTTTCCAGAATCCACTTTAACTTTTTTTGGATAGTCCCTGTTGGTCAGAACAGCACAGAAAAACTAGACTTTATTAATTTGTTTTCTGTCTAATTCCTTCAACTACAAAGTTGGCAGTGCACACAGAGAACAAGTGCCAACATCAGTACTTCCTTTTAAATAAACAGCAAACTCAGATAATATTTGCATGTTACAAAGAAGTGGTTCATTTGATATTTTCTTTCCCTATGAGCTCCTTCTTGCTTTAAACCACATGAGAGAAATACAGTTAAATTATTTAAAAATCAAAAATCCTTTAGAAAGGGAGTTAGATAGCCAATGGTTTTGCTTTCTTAGATAGGAGTTTGTCTTTAAAAAATTTGAGACGCGAGCTCAGCCAAAAACTGTGAGTGAAAAAGTGTTCCAATTTCAAATACCCTCTGTCAGAATTTCCATCTCTAATTGCAGCTATAATGAACAAAACAGTAAAAGATTTGGATTTCGGTTAAAGCATCCAAAATAACATGATCTGAATTAGGTTTGCCTGGGAGAAATGAGAATAGGATATGCTATTTATCTGTCTATTTATCAGACTGACTGATACAAAACTTGTGTGTACATTAAGCCTAAAATACTTCAGAATAGCTGTGCAACACCTTGTAAATCTCTTAAATAATTTGTAAGCTAGTAAAAGTTTTATTGCTTCAGAATCCATAAGTGCACTTTATCTTCTAAGTATGTCATGTTTTTGTCCTTTCACTCCAGTTCAGGAAAATATTCAAAGATACCCTGACATACCAGTGATTTCAAATAAAGCTTCCAAACTTTTTTAGGCAGGACCCTTCTGGAACATCAAGACCATCATTGGCAATTGTGGGAAGCAAAAAGGATGATCTGAGCCTCTGCTTCAGCATGCTATTGATCCCACATCAAATAAGTTCTGTATATTGGACGTATGCAGTGTCCTGTTAAACTGGATAACATCAATCATAATGATGCATACATTTTCATGGAAGAGATCTTCAGGAAGGAAGCATGGAGAGAACAAGACTCAGAGTGAAGAGCAGGCTGGAGTTATAGTTTAGTATTTGTGGCCATCTTGGGTTTTTTGGAACTAAAATGCTGAAAAAACCCTGAATGCTGAGACTAATATATTTGCACAGCTGATCAATGGTGAGTGGCAAATGGAAAAACTAGATCTGCTCCTATAGTAAAGATAACTGCTCAGTGAATGCTGCAGTGGCCAAATCAGAAGTTTTCAGTTTTCTGACAGTTGAACTCCTGCACCTAGAACAGGCATGATTTGTGTGATATGAAAAGCCACAGAAATAAAATTATCTAAATGGATATGAAAGACTTCAGATACAAAACAATATTTTGTGAGAAAATGCATTTGGAGAGCAGCATAAAGCTGAAGATATCTAATATGTGGATATGCCAAAGGAAATGTCAAGGTCTGAATAGGGAGGTATGAAGCTTTTATATATATGTGTGTGTGTGTGTGTGTGTGTATGTATGTATACACACACACACAGAGTACATATATATATAGTACATATATATTGTACATGCATTGTACAATTTATGAGTTAAGGAGTTAGAAGAAAAAGGGAAAAATGACAGTACAGTGAACTATGATTCACTAGCACTTCCCTATTTGAATAAAGACTTTCTGAGCTGATAAAACACTGTTTAAGAAAATTAATAATGAACTTAAGCACTATGTACCTCATTAATCTTATTGTATGTGAAGCTGTTGTACACATTGGGATCTTGCTGGAGACAAAAATCAAAAAGGAATAGTTTCATACTTTTCATAAAAGTCTTCAAAAAATCTCTTACTGGAGTGTGCAATTCACTGCAGCTATGGTAGAAATCTTGGTGCAGTATTTCTTGAGAAATCCCCCACAGAATATTTTGGAGACAGTATTTTAAATAAGTTATACTAGATAGGGTTCTCATGGAAACTGATGTGTTCCAAATGGATCGGGAGAGAGGGAGAGAAGCAGGATTCAGAAGAACTGCCTTCAGTCATTAGAGAAGACTAATGTCTCAGACATCTTCTTGTACATCCAGAAAGATACAGTACGCACTCTACAATGAACCATAGCAGAGAGATCACCAAGCTAATGCCAACGCGAGCTGGAAAACCCCCACACCTATATAACCAAAATACATGCCAGATGAGCTAACCTATACAAAGATGATACTGGAATCACCACATACTCATTGAAAACAAGTTGAGGGAGTAAAAGATGCTGCCTCATTCTTATTTGCAGTAAACCTTTAGAGCTTCACCATTAGATAATTTTTGCATAACGCAACAGAATTTTGTCTGGGATAATATATTTCTAAAATCAAGAAACTCCTGAAGTGAAATACTGCTGTTTTATACTGGATGGAATTAAAATCAATTCAGAAAACCCAACTCAGATGTGAGACTGAATCCCAAAAGATATCGGTCACCAACAAGCAATTGATCTCCTAACTGACCTGGGAGAAGGACTCTAGAGGGAACTAAACACACAAAACATTGGAAGTTTTGGCCCATCATTTGAACATAGCTACTTGAATTTTAGTTCTTTCTTCTGGAATTTGTATCATCATCATGTAATGAATGCAACTCTAATTTTATCAAATTAATTCATCCTGCTGTTAAATTTTACATTCCTGAGCGGCTGACTGAGCAAAGAACAGGGTGGTCTGGCCTCTACTTACTGAAAGTGAGGTGCATCACGGCAAAGTTCTATATTGGGCCGTTTAGTTCTTCCCTCCAGGCGGGTTTGAGCCACTTTCAGTGGGTACTCCTTTGCCATTATAGATCTCTCCAGTAACATGATAGTATTTTCTGTCTGAAAGATTTCTTGAAGTGTCTGAACAAAGAAGAGTATTTTTATAAGCCACACATGCATACATTATCAGAACTCTCCCCGGCTTTACACACTCCTATTGGAACGGCTTACGTTCTGGCATGTCATTTTGCTTTAGTTTAGGGGAGGGAGGAGATTGCTACAAGCTCACAGCAATCAAGTGTATTTGTATAATATGTTGGCTTATTCCTGCCTGTTCTTTAAAAGGGCATATGGTAATCACAGCTCATGGGAGAGCCAAAGGGAGGGGCTTTACAGACATACATCAAAACATTAAAGCAGTTAATGAAGTTATTCCTGGAAAACTGGATAGCAACACTGGAGAACCACTTCCACTAGGAAATGTACCATCTCTTTCCTATTGTAAAATTTAAAATTTTTTATGCAAATTGGCATATAAAGTTTTTACAATCAGAAGACAAGCACAGAGTTATTAGGGAGGGAGAAATTCCAACTGTGCTTTTGTGTATGAAGCCATTTTTGAAGAGGCAGTGTTTACAGGTCTACAGAGGCTTATTTCCATTTTGCTTCCTTGTCCATTTTTTCTCCTTAATTAAAAAGTTGCTGCTTGATCATTAAAGTTTTGCAGAGATAAAATTCCAAACAAGCTGCCATTTTCATTCAAACCTTCATTCAATTCTCACTTCCATTTGCCCCATAAAAATTGAAAATCAAATATGTCCCCTCTGAAATTGATGTGTGCTCCAACTGTTCAGGTGACGTAAGTTCACAAGCCTGCAGATTTAGAAATACAGTCATATTTTCATATTGAAACTACATTTTGAAAATGTTGAAAGCACCTCTGGGAGCTGTAAAGGGGAAAAACAACTTGCTTTAAAGGCTTATTTTCTTTAAATGGAGAAGGTATGGAGTGAAGCATCACCTAAAAGGGTAGGCCCATGGAATTAGAATAGCATAGTTTTTAGTTGCAGAATATGTTATCATATAATCGTATTATCTCTCCAGATCCTGCAAGTGCTCAAACCGCAAGGGAAGGGCGCTTTTTTGCTCAGTCTGGAACAAGAATGGGGAAAATGTTTATATTCAGGTAACATTTCCTAGCCGCTTGGTCATTACATTACTTTCATTTATGGCAATTCATTACAGCCAATATGTTGAATGAATTCAAGATTTTCCTATAGACAAGAGCACAAATTTAACTAACGTAGTTTCTCAGCCAGGCTACTAAGATCCATGCAACTTGAATTTCAGCAACAACTAAGAATGGTGTAAAGTGATTTAACCTATGCCGCTGTTTAGGTTTTGCCTACATAGAAGAATGTACTAGATAAGCTAATGCTGTGTGTGGCTTGAAAATTGAATTAGTTTCTGCTGCTGAAAGGCTGTTTATAAACAAACCCAGAAAGTTTAAGGGTGCTGGGAGCCTGCACATCAATCCATATCTTTAAGGGCTTGTCTATGCTGCGTAGTAGAATAAAGTGAGAGATCTCCTGGCTAGCTAGCACTGTCCAAACCAGTTCAACCCTTACAGCATTGCAATTTGCCAATGGATGAATCATCTTGGACTCTGAAGCAGCAGCAGCGTATGAACATGACTGTACAGATTTGAAACCAGGTGAGTGTCTCCACACAGTACTCCTGAGCACTTGTGGGTACAGTGTTGGTTCTCACAGAGCTGTTGCGTCTGGCTTCACCTTTGCCTTTACTGCTTACAGGCTTCAGGGAAAAAAATGTGGTTTATTATGAAGGGAATACAGTGTGAAAGAAAGTGAATCTCAGATTAGTAAATCTCTCCTTAAAATTTCATTCTGCAGTGGTTCTTAATTAAACAATCTCCATAAGTAACCTATGTTTAACTGGAAATATTTATGCAGGTAATCCAGTGCACTTTAGTAACTTTATTTTGCAGAGGAACTACTCTATGATAAGATTGCATTGTTAGATACATAGCTTTATATTTGGTTACGTATAGTTATTTCTATAGATACAAACCACGGCAAAGAGATTTAATGAAGTTAGATGTCTTTACTGCACAGAAAGTCTACATCCTTCCTTTACACAAAGGATTTGGTTTGGGATCTTCTGCTGCTCAGAAGCAGAGCTCGACTAGCTTGTGCTGTTACCAGCACTTTACTATTTACTACTTGGCTAATGCAAAGTTCACTTTGCTAAGTGAATGTAGCGTGTGTTCGTGCGTACATGACAAAGAGCGTGCATTCCCTCCACCCTGAGGTGAGGTCCAGTTTCTAGGTAGGCTGCTCCTGATTTATTGGATGTATATCAGAGTGATTTTAGAAGCCCTGTACTTGGCTCCCACAGTTCACCTTCACTGCCAACCAAAATATCAACCTGCTGGGATGTACCAAGGCTGTGAGGGTAAGAAATATGTACGGCTTTTAGAAGTTACCCACTGCTTAGCAGGGTCCTCCTTTCCTGTGTTTATATTACAGCTTCTATCACTACTGTGGTGTTTCCCATGCTACGCCTTATTGCTTGCAAGAGAGCCAAATTCACTGTGGTGTAATTCTGTTCCCTGCAGTGGGTTATCATGAGGATGTTAGCCTTTTATTATTAATTCCATGTACATTGTGCTCCAAGCATTTTACAATAAAAAAAATAATTCAAAGAAAAACAATCAAAGTAGCACACATCTCAGCCCAGTAAGAACTGGGCAAAATTCTGTTTAAGTTTCAGAAAGGGATGAGGGGGTGTTTTTGGTTTCATAACGAAATAGAGGACTTGCATTCTCAGATCAGCTTCTGAGCAGGACCTTTGTGGTTCAGACTTTGAGCTTTATTGCTGGTAACATTTTCCCTCTTGGGCAGCACAGGCAAATAAATGGTGATTCACCTTTGTAGAGGAAATCTATCAATCTAGCAATTAAAGCAGCCCAGAGCATTTGGTTAGAAATCAACCATGACAGTGAAACCAGCTCCCCAGAGCAATGTAGCAGTTAACAGATGTGCTCATATTATGGTAATGTAATCACCATGCTGGTATTTTATGTTCTGTGACAATATGAATCAAAACAATGTCATTTGCTGAGTGAGTAGAGTTAGGTTACAAGCTCTCCTACAGGTTAATTGTTTGGATCGGGTTAGAGAAATGTAAGGAGATGAACTTAACAGTTTCTGAGAGAAAAATGTTTTCACTGCCTCCCCTCTCAGTGGAAGCAGTATAGGTATTTCATGTTTATTCCACACCTGGAAGGAAAGCAGTAAGCCATCAAAGGGGACTCAAGCACGTGCACAGGAACACACGCTGCAGCAGGCTCAGCAGCATCATACAAATTTACGAAAGGACCAGGGAAACAGTTTGATAGTCTTCAGCATTTCAGATAACAGTGCCATTCCTCTGCCACAAATCCTCATTTGGGCCATAGCATACCGTGGCAACCAGTAATATGTGACAGTATGCAATAGCTGGGTGCCTTTTACTCTTTCATTCTGTTTGTGTGAAAGACTAAATTATATATCAAATGTTTTTTAAGATGTAGAAGGAACAAACTGGACCTACTAAAGACAATGTTGAACAGATTGGGAGAACGGCACATCTAAGAAAAATGCTTATGTATAAACTGTTCTCAGTCTCTTGGAAAGGCTGCTTTCTTTAAAGTCAGCTGGCAGTAAGAACTTTAGGAGAGAGATTTTCTGGACCCACACTTCTCTCAAATCTTCTTCTAATGCACTCATATTGGCCACAGCAAAGGTACAACTGCCAGACCACAAACTGATATGGGAAAACTGATATAAGACAATAGTCTTATATCTAGGAGCCACTCAAAGTACTTGGATCTTGCACGACGTTAATGTCAATTCGCATAATGTTAATGTTGGAAAGAGACAAGCTCTGAAGTCTAATTAGAAAATGTTTCTCTTTATTGAGAATCAGGTGTTCATGAAAAGAGAGCTTTCCACCTAAAAGTCACTGAAAACTCAAGGCTTTATGCCCAGCCATTATAAGTTTTTCTGCTTGTACAACAAGCAGTAACTGCAAAGCACACTCATGCCATATGAACTCCCTAGCTGCTCTGGGGTCCTTCTCATAAAGGTAGAAATAGTCTGCAAGAACATTATGCACAACCAAGACAACTGATTAGTACTGCTAAGCAAATCCTTCCTTAGTCATTTGCTAAAGAAAAATAGTTTAAACCTGCCTGTGAACTCAAAATTCAAATTTAAATCTATGCAGCCATCTTTAAGCACTGCTTGGCTACATAAAAGTGCATATGGTTTAGGCTCATTCTGTGCTCTCCATTCTTTTATTTCTTTTAAAACACTGTCATTTAAGACATACAAAGAAAAATGGCCTCAGGGGAACCACTTCCAATGCATCGCAGAAGCTCTGTACAAACTGTTTTTGATTATTCATTCTGGCTACACATTGGATAAAATGATTTAGATATTCTACTGTACATAAATGGATTGGTGGGGAGAATCACCAGATAGCGTTGCACCAGTCTACGTCATTTCTGGATGACCTCCAAAGGCAGGAAGGGAAAACAACAAACCCTGAGCAGCATGTTCCTGCGAGAGCATGAGGAAGGACTGGCTCAGGCAGCCGGTCCATCCGGGTCCTTTCTCTTCCAGGATGTTAGCAAAACTTTGTCCTGGAGCGTTCTTGAGAGCGTATCAAAAACTTTTCTCTCACTGTTCTGTCACTTCCCCAAAGCCAGGATTTTTATAGGCTGGATACTGTAAGACCGGGAGACAGAGCTGCTGCAGTCACACATATAGTGTGACCTGGGTAGCCTTAAATACAACGTAAGCATTTTGAAAGTGCTATAGTCAGATTGTAACTATTAATTTTTTTGTTTTCTGAGGTTTTGCTCAGCATTTAGTTGCGAATGAAAAAAGCAGCAGTCAGGTATTATGGTGGGAGGGACATTCTTGTGCCAGATAGTTTTGTACATTTCTTTAGGTTTAATATTTAGCCTCTCAGTCTTTTATTTTTTTTAAGTTTTTCATCTGTTTCCATATTTCATCCATTTTATTTTGTGCCTGTTATCATACTTAACTGAATAATGTGACTGATTTCACAAT